TCTTGCAGCACCCAGGGTGAGGTGTGTGTGCATGTGAACTTTTGTAAACACTATCAAAATTAAGCAAGTTTGCTGCATGGTGCTTTGTGATTAACTATGATGACATAGCCTGGTGTGCACTAGGGATTCACAGTAGAATCAACAGACAAGGATGGGCATTGGATCATGAAATATGAATAAAAAGTGAATTGTTGTGTGTTAATGTAGTATTAAGTTGGTAAGTGGGGGAATATTTAGAAATGGTTCATGCCATTAAAAATCATGGCTATAAGCCTAAATGGAGATTTAGCAATTCTTTCATGTATAGTCCTCCCTTTCAAAACATTAAATGCAAATATTCTTAGTTTTCTAGATTAATATAATGCCATGAAAGTATCATCTTGATGTTTCAGATTTGCATGTATACTTCCACACCTCCTGAAATGAACCTCTGCTCCTTTTAATTGCGATATCCAGGCAGGATAATATCTGTGCAGTCTGTACTCTTTTGTTTTTGCAGGTGGCCCAAAAAATGGAAACACAGCCTCCCAATTTCATAGGAAAAGTAAGGCTGGAAGGGCTCTCCAAAGGTCATCTAGTCCACCTCCCTACTGAAGACGGGATCATCCCTGTCTAAATGATCCTACACAAGTGCTTGTTTAACCAATTCCTAAATGCTACACACACAACCCTGTGGCACAATGACAAAGTGCATAGCTCAAGCACACCCTAACCTATCATGGGTAAAACAAATTCACTATGAATGTCCCACCACTGCAACATTAAATATGCTTGATGGATCCAAGAAAGAGAACCAAAGGAAGGTACAACCCCTCTCAGTCTATACCAGTTCCTTTGTGGTTTCATATGGTACCTATCAAAGCCCAGAAGCATGGGAAAAAGCAATGCCTTCCACTCTGTTTTGCAACCTGTGGAGAACAAACAACTCCATGCATTGCATCCCTTTTTTGTCATCTTTTCCCCCCCATTGAACTTATCCCAGACCCTTTAATCTTCTTTTGTAACAAAGCTGGTTGTGGAGCTCTGCTTTGTTATCCTGTTGCTAAGCATTGTCCTCTTCAATATCCACCTTCTCTGGGCTGCAGAGCACTTTCAGGATCTTCCAGCATTGTTTCTTTTTGCTTTCTTCCTTCTGGACCTAAGCAGATTCCCCTCAGGTAAAAGACGGAGTTTGATAATCTTCTGATCTCCTTCTTGCTCCCCTTTCTGATTCTTTAAGGGATTCTAAGGGTAAATCCATCCTCCCATCAACTTTGTGTTCTCTTTTTGGCGGATATATGGTGGGCCTGGATAGACAGAAATGTAATTTCTGGATTATTATATGTCCCTTTTGAAAAAAGAGTTTGATTTCAATCCAAATTGATTATGCTCATTTTGTATTTGTTAGTCTACTGGTAAATAGTTTTGATGGCAGATATGGACATATATAACTGTTCTAAATCCTGTAGAACATATTGAAAAGCTTATTTCTGTGATGATTGAAGAGCTTGTAAGCAGTTTCTTCAGGGCTTTGGCTGGTAAAGATTTTATATTTCTAGTGGTGACTAAAATACTTGTATCATTGGTGTTGTATCAATTAGCATTTTTTTCGGAGTGTCCTTGTTGGTTTAAGGGCTATGTGCTGTCTGAATGCTACAGAGATATTTTAGGAAAATGTGGTGTTATTGCAGTTATATGAATTGAAGGAGGTAAAACAAATGTCTCTCTCTTATTACCATTGAATTGGACAATATAGGTAATAGAGATTTCAATGTCTGCATTTTTTTTGGATGACATGTATTACAGTATGTGCCTTCTATCTGGAGTCCTTTAATTCAACTGTTTTCCTGCTGCCCCTTTTTCACTAGCTTCTGAGCTCTTTCAGCTCCTTCTCTAGATGTTCTTCATGTTCTGGTTGAGTTTTCTCTAGTTAGTGAAATACATTGGTCTTGTATGCCTTTATTCTCAGGGCTTTCAGTTTAGTAGAACATTTCAGAACATAGACTTGACTGAAACCTTTTATACATCCCTGTTGCTTGGGTAAAGTTCACTCTAATGCCTTCTCTGTTCTGGATGCCAAATTGTCTTGCTCATGTTTGGCTAAGGATATGCTGCTTCTGACACAATTTCATTTTTTATCAGTGCTAGAAGGATGCTGCTGCTGCTTGTGCTTTTGTCTGATTTAAGTCGAAGGATGTTTTAAATAGAAAAGTGTTGATTTTTCTGCCATTATTAAATCCTGCTTTGCTTCAGGATCCTACTGTTTTAGATGATAATTATATCAGATCAATCAGGCATGGCTCCAGAGTTGAAGCACAACTGGAGTTCCTAGTTAGGCCTGCATTAACCGGCCCCTGCTCTCTAAATAAAATTGTTTAAGCTTTGCACATTGTCTTCCAGCTCCTTCAGTTAGCATCGAAATGCTTGGATTTATGTGGCCTTTGCTAAAAATTTTTTAATTGTAGTGAGTAGTTCTGTTTGGTTTAATGCTCATTTTGCCATCTCCAGCTTTTTATTTCTGGGCTGTCCTTCTGTAGTCACATTTTCAGTTCTTTTTTCTTTCCCCCATACCTCCAAATGAATTTTAATGTTTGTTCTTTTATTATAGAACTGAGCAGAATGATGCATTTTACTCAGTTATCTAACATTTCATTAGCCCTTATGTCGGGGCACTATAAAGTAATCATAGAATCCTAGAAAATCAGGATTGGAAGGGACCTCAGGCGGTCATCTAGTCCAACCCCCTGCTCAAAGCAGGACCAGCCCCAACTAGTTTGTTCCAGCCAGGGCTTTGTCAAGCCAGACCTTAAAAACTTCCAAGGGTGGAGATTCCACCACCTCTCTAGGTAATTTGTTGCAGTGTTTCACCACCCTCCTAGTGAGAGAGTTTTTCCTAGTATCCAACCTTAACCTCCCTTCCTGCAGCTTGAGACTGTTGCTCCTTGTTCTGTCATCTGTCACCACTGAGAACAGTCTAGATCCATCCTCTTTTGAACCTCCCTTCAAGGACTTAATGGCTGCTATCAAATCCCCTCTCAGTCTTCTCCTTCAAACTGAAATAAACCCACTTCCCCCAGCCTCTCCTCATAAGTCATGTCCCCCAGCCCCCTCACCATTTTTGCTGCCCTCTGCTGGACTCTCTCCATTTTGTTCACATCTTTTCTATAGCGGGGGGCCCAAAACTGGACGTAGGACTCCAGATGTGGCCTCACCAGTGCTGAATAGAGCGGAATAATTACTTTCCTCAATTGTTGGCAACGCTCCTACCAATGCAGCCCAGTATACCATTAGCCTTGTTGGCAACAAGGGCACACTGCTGACTCATATTCAGCTTATTGTCCACTGTAACCCCCAGGTCCTTTTCTGCAGAGCTGTTACTTAGCCAGTCAGTCCCTAGGCTGTAGCAGTGTATGGGATTCTTTTGCCCTAAGTGCAGGACTTTGCACTTGTCCTTGTTGAACTTCATGAGATTTCTTTTGGCCCAATCCTCCAATTTGTCTAGGTCATTCTGAATCCTAGCCCTACCCTCCAGTATGTCTACTACACCGCCTGGCTTGGTGTCGTCTGTGAACTTGCTGAGGGTGCAATCTATCCCATCTTCCAGATTGTTAATGAATTTGTGCAGATTGTTGTTTTTCTGATTTATTTCAAGTTGATGGTGATATAAAATTGTGCACTTAGCCATCACTCAATTATACTACTCTGTTTTTAGATTTCACTGTTCTGTTGCATGAAAACAGAGTTGTTACTGATATTTTTCCCATAGGCTTGTTAAAAGTCAGGCTCTCACAGAAAATGAATGCAGTTTGTGTGTTGGCAAATATAAAGGGAAGGCTGCTGGCCAGATTCATTTTGGTTTGATGTGCTTTGAATATAATCTCCACAATTAATTTTTACAAGATTCATACATAGTAACACATTTATTTTTTCTGCATTTCTTTCAACTAATGCAACTAAATTATTCCTTGTTTCTGTAAATTAAAGAGCTATTCAACTTGCTGCTTGAAACTGAAGAGGGATTCAGATTTGTATTGCTTGGTAATGCACTAAACTGACCCAGAAATGCACTTGTGCTTATTGTGGCTAACTGGGCACTTCCCTATGACTGGGGGGTGGAATAAGACTTTTTTTTAGAAAATTGTTATTCATACATATTGGCAAATGTGAAAAATGTTGGCTCATTCTTATACTACATCTTCTTAGGGATACGTTAAAAATGATTTAAAGACATGCTTTTTGCCATATTGTTGCTGCAGACCAACAAAATATGTTATAAGTTGCTGTAGATTGTTTTGAAAGGCTTTCTTTATGGCCCCTTAGAAATGTAGATAGTACCATTGAAGAGAGATGAAGGGCCTGTAAAAATGATAATGTAACAAGTGTCCATAAAGGTGTGCATTTAGCTAATAGCAAACTGATTAGGCAGACTCTCACAGCAAACTTCCCTGCCTAATAGCAAAATATTAGGCAGGAAAGTGACTTGAGCAACAAACTGAGCAGTTATTTTTACTAGTTTCTTTAGGTAGAGAATGGATTCTTCTTTTTTTTTTTGCAGAAAGCCTCTTATTGTGAGCTTCGTTATTGCTATTGCTCGGATAAAGCTGAAGAGTATTCTGTAAGGAGTCTGTGGGTTTGTTGTTTTGTTTAAATTACTATTGTTTTAGAAGCACAGTTGAAACATCATATCAGTAAATCAACTGGGATCATATATTATCTACTCATGGATTCACTGGCATATCAAATAAATGTAGGATTGCCATAGTAATATAAATTGATTTATCATTTTCCCAAAGATTAATGCAGTACCTCTCATAGTAAGTGCTCACTGAAATGAGTTTTCAGAATACCCTAGCTGGCATAAGAATATATCAGTTCACATGCATATTGATGACAACGCATTCAGTGTCTGCCGTAATCAAGATTAGGTTACTGGTGCCATTCTTGTATCCCTTTTCCCCATGATATATTTAGCTTTGTTTCTTTTTAACCGTAAAAATCTCATCAGTCTTTATTCTGTTCAGATAATACCAGACGTGGCTTGTGGAAATGCCAGTTCTAACAACTCTGCTGGAGGTCGGCTTATCACCTTTGAAGTTCCCCAGAACACATCAATCAAGTAAGAATAAGTTTTTGTCAAATCAGCTTGGAATATACACACATTTTTTATGGTAGTGTTTAGTACTGAATTTATTTCCAGTAGTTTTGAAAGGAAAGCTGTCTGTCTTCCAAACCCCTGGCACATTATTTTTCTAGTGTGATTAAGTTGTTAATTGTAATGGCAGAAATGGCAACTGGCTACATTTATAGAGCCATAAAATCCTGATAAATGTGAAAAAATGTGTAATATCTATGTTGTTGGTTTGTATGGCACCATGCAGGGACCATCCTCAGGCTGGATCCCCAAAAGGGTCCCAGTCAGCTACCAGCAAGTCAGAACTGCCCTAGGATGATTATTTGATTGTCATGATCCCAGGTTCAATCAGTGTGATTGTTGGGATCATGCATCAGATGCTATTATGCTTTAATTTCACATCTGCCAGGGGTGCCAGATCCGTCATTTTAGACTTCTCCTGAAATAGCATACTACTTTCTCCTTTTTCATGCTGCCATCTTATGGTCCAGGATCTCCATTTCCATATAAAACATCAGCCAAACACCAGATTTTTTCAAAACCATCACAAAATAAGAAACTGAGTTAACTTTTGAAACAGGGTCCACTTTGAGTCTTTAAGAACCTGTAACAAGAAATCCTAAGAGGGACCAAGTCTGTTCATCCCTTTGGGGCATTAAATCATGCCCAGTGGTGGCAATTTAAATATTAATGTTGTTGAATTTCATTCCTCATGAAAGTGTGTAAGAAAGGAGAAATAGGATCCAACTTGCACAGACATTAGCGGTCTCGTTTCAGGAGATGCCGTGGGTGAATGGGCTTCACAAGCATGCTGCCACTACTTTCCCACCATACATTAAGAAGCCAAACACAAGTACTCTCAAGGAGTCTAGTAGAGTCTGAAAGAAATCTGAGTCTTGCTAATAAGGTGGCAATTCTGAGGAGCCTAGGAGGGCTCATGGATGTACTGAGACACACTAAAGGAGAAAAAAAATCAAATGAGCACAAATCATTTGCACTGTCAGTTGTGTTTGGCAGCTGATTTGGAAAAGCTCTACTACCTTTTTTTTCCCCCCCAAGCATCCCTTAATAGGCATGTATTTATGCTGCTAACAAGCTGAAATGCCAGTTTCCCAATCATTTCTGTGTTCCCATACTTTCTGTGTTCAAATGCAGATGTACTACATCTGACAACCATTTCTAAAAGAACAGTCACTTGAGATGAGATCAAATTCCATTATCAAAATTAATGGAATTTTACTAAACTGTGACACTCCTTACTCTCATATTAAGATTACATGAAGTTGTTAGAAATACATACATCAACTTGGATTAAAAATAGACACAAAATAGTGCCCAAAATTTGAGCCTCAAACACTCCAGCTGTAAGAGGCTCTATCCTTGCATGAATAACATTAATAAAAGCCTATGGTTCTTGATTCCAACTGCAAGCAAAAGCATGGAAATGGGAAAGACTGCTCTTACTGTATTTCTGCCATGGCTAAAATCACCTGTATGTGATGAAATTCTACAAGAGCCCTCGATTCTCATGCGACTTACAGCCCTATTTCCCATAAATAGAGATTCAGATTAATTTCTGACTTTTGGATGGTTATATACGTTGAATGTTGAGCCTTTGGAGATCTGTTCAATCCTAGTTGAGGTTCTTTCAGACAAACTGATGCAGATACCTGGATACTTGCCAGATACACAATAAGATTCATATTTCACATGTTTCATAGCTAGGTATGGAAACAGTGCACTAAAAGGGCAGATCAATAGAAGTAAGTTATTGGCGTGGTGTGTCCGAAAATTTTCTGAAATATTGCGAGACTGACTATACATGATTTACTTTCCCCTAGGTGGTTTTACTTTAAGCAGTAAGTTTTCTTATCCAGCAACTTGCTACAGATCTTAGTGACCTTGATAACATGGCATGATTCATTTTATTTACAAGAATAAATTGTTCTGAACATTTTATCCAATGTGTTTAAAAAAAACAACAAAACAACAGAAAACCCAAGATTTCAATTGGCTTCAATCTCCTACCTTGACTACATGTTAACATGAGCACTAGCAGAGGGAACCTTTGTGGAGAAAAGTACCACTTAAAATTATTAGGGATGTAGTCATAGTTGGGCAACCTGTTGTATAAATATAAGATATTTATTTACAAGATCTATGAGTAAATAATCTGCTTTTTTGCTGTTATATTATAGACTGCATTAACTGGGCATTAAGATGGTTCTCTAAGTTAATGGATAACCAGAATACACAAAAATACATGCCTGAGTAGATTCTCCTGGGTCAGTGAAGTCAACTGTCATAGAATCCCATTAATAAATTTATCAGTGATTGTATCTGCTTTCAGGTACACCATTAATCAGCTCTTACTCATGAAGAATGTTGTATGGGGAATGTTTTGGAAGTAGAATGCATGGATCTACCCCTACTGCTGTGAAAATTGTTTGCTAATAAATGTATTTACGTTTGCTAACGCACATAGTTTATTTGCAGAAACTCAGCCTTTCTGCATATTTGAGCCTTGTTTCTTTGATTTTCATTTGAAATGATGTGTTTTATAAGGCCAATTTCCCTTGATATGATGTGATTATTTTTATCATTCTTGCCTAGAATAAAGCAAGATGCCACAGCTTCTCTTATCTTGTTATGGAAAGTTACAACAACTGGATTTAAACAGTGCTCACTTATAGAAGGCAGAAGTGTTACTCTCCTCCAGGCACTGGGTGGACTCGTTCTTTCTGAGGAAATACTCACACTAGGAAACAACTACTTTATTGGTGAGTAACAGTAACATCTCTTGATCATGTAAGATGATAATTTTACCCATCAAATGCAGAGGTAGTTAGAGTTAGCTCTCTTTAGGTGGTGCTGAAAAAAATGGCTGTGGATGGATATTTTGTTAATTCATCAAAGCAAGTAAATGCTCCATTAAACTGTATAGTAGCTATAATTACACCTGTGGAACTATCTAATTTGGAATCCAGGTAAAGTTTCTTGGCCTACACTTAATTAAGATGTACAAAATATTTATACATTTCAGTTTAATGAAATACCTTTTGATAAATGCTGTAATAGCTGCTACACAAGTTGATATTCAAGTTGTTTGACCAAATGCTGTTATATCGAGGTACACTTGGTAGAGAATTTTAGTCTTAAATAAGTTGCATGAATAAAATTCTTTAAGCACACAATTAACTTCAAAACATATTAAAATATATTAAAATCAAATTAAAATCTCTTGGCAAGATTTGTTACTGGGAATTAATATTACACACACACACACACACACACACACACACACACACACACACACACACAAGAACTGAAATTCTAATGTACTATCCTTCATTGAAGAATCATATATTTAATGTCTTGGTAGAAAGTGTAAAATAAAAATGGTGTGCACTTTATTTAAAAGTATATGGGAGATACCAGTTTAAAGAGATTCTTTATCAATGGAGCCTATGTATTTAATTAAATTGAGCTTTGTGGACAGCTGGTTTGCTGTAATAAGAACCCAAAGTATAAAGCCATAGTAATAATAGTGTTTATTTGTTATCTTGAAATATTTTTAATTCTATCATGAAGAAAAAAAGTTGTTACTATTCAGCGATCAGTAATTAATGCCGTTTCTGAAACATAGTGTACTTTGCAAAATTTTTTTATCAAAAACACTTAGATACAGAAATTTTGGGTCAGATTCTGAGTATATGTTTGAGCCAAGGAGAAGCTCACGTGTAATAAAATGCCCTATTTTCAGTGTTAATGGTCTAGTTAGCAAAAACCTCATTAAGGGTTGTTAGCTATTTTATCAGCAGCAGGTTTCATTGAATAGCATTCATGTTCTCCATTTGGTATGCTAGTTGGGTTTTTTTTACATGTTTCTCTTTGGCTGAGATCATAGAATCACAGAAAATGATGTTCACTTCTTAAGACTTCTATTATTTACTGAAATAAAAGTCTTTAATTTGCTAAAGTTAAAGTTCTTCTCCAGGAACTTGTCTTCCCTAGGAATAAAGGGTTACTTTTACCTTGTGTTATGATTAGTTAACACCTGTAAGCTAGGTAAATTCCTAGTGAAGACAAAGGAGTTTGATTTTCATATGGTGGCAGGTTGAAGTAAAAACAACTGGCAAACCTGGACTTTATCATGATCTTTAAACTATTCTGCAGCTGCCTTGACTTTAGTAGGGTTTTACCTTGAGTTAATTACCATGTTAAGAATCTTAAGCAGCTCTTTCTTTAGTGAAGACAAGACCAAAGTACAAATATGTCAGCTTTCATCAATAGTACAAAGTTTGCAGTTACTACTAACTCATCCTACCATTTAATTCAGGTATTAGTGACCAGTCTTTCTTTCAATATTTTCTGGATATTAAAAAATATCTGTACAGAACATTCCAAAGGTTTTAGTTTAATTCTGTAATAAAATGTCACAATCATCTTGACTGATGCACAAGACTAGCATTCATGGAGTAGGTGTGCACCTTCATGGTGTATACTTAACAGGTCTAGTCAGATGCCTGATGAATCCTTTTGTGGCTGACGGGTGCAATTCCAGAGTGACACAGCTTGTTACAAGTTTCACAAATCTATATGTGGTCTGAGTTGGAGTCCAGATTTACAGCATACTGCTGTTTCTTTCTTGCATTGCTTCCATCCTCTGGATCAAAGCTTTTTTATGTTGAGCCTTACCCAGTACCAGATGTTCCCTCCAGATTGCATGGGATTCTGCACCCTCCTCCCAGCTTTCTACGCTGCTGTAAAATGACTTCATATTATTTTTCCACACATTGTGGTACCACCATGGAGGGTGACCTCACTTTCCAGGGCTGTCTTGAATCTCACTATACAAAATATTCTTGAGGATATGGTCTTCTCCCATTCTCTTGACAGGCCGATCCATTGCAACCTTTTCTTTTTGATAGTGGTTTATAAGTGTGTAAGTCCTGTGTACTCCAGTACCTCTGTGTTTGGTATTCTGTCTTCCCACTTTATTTTTAGGATCTTATGCAGACTCTCATGTGGAAGCTTTTTAGTCTCTTGGTATGCCTAGCATATGTAGTCCATGTTTCTGAACCATAAATCAGGACATAGCACACAGGTCTCCTACACTAGTATTTTTACCTTAGCTGATAGTTTGCTTTTACTCCATGCATGTTTCTGTGATAGCCCAAAATTCTTAGATGCTTTTTTAATTCTGTTAGTCAGTTCAGTCTGAAGGTTAAGATTCCTGCTAATCTTGGAACCCAGGTAGCAAAAACTGTCAATGACACCAAGAGATTTATCCTCCAGAATGATGTCAAGTATTGTTTTTTTTTTTTTTTTCACCCCTTGGTAAATGATCGCAGTCTTCTTGGCTAGTGACAGAAGTTGTACATAAACTGGTTTAAGTGATCAGAAATTGGTTTAAACCTGTAACAGAACATAAGTTCAGTGAACATAAACCAGTTTCAAAATGGCTGAAACTGGTTTAAGATAAAGCTGGTTGAATGTAGTATCAGACTTAACTGATTTGGTTCAAACCGGTTTATTCAACTTCTGTCCCAGACCCTTTCCTGCTTTGAGTTAAATCACAGCCCCCCAGCATCCCAGATGCTTTGTAGCCCTGAGTTGAGGCTCTGCTCTCTGCTCCAGAGAGCAGGGCTGGTCCCACCCCTCTGCTCTCTAGCCAGACAGAAGGTGGGAGCCTCCCCAGACTCATGGCCCCTTGAGGCAAAGGGAGCAGGGAGGGGGCTTATTCCCTCCCTCCCTTACCAGAGGACTGTGGCTCCTGTCACTCATTTTCTCCCTTGTCAATTCAGTGGCAGGGGAGGGAGCATGGCCAGAGCCAGCTGGCATGGCCCCTGCCATCCACCTGCTTAGCTAGCAGCTGGGGCTGCAGGGCTGAGCCCAGCCAGCTGCAAGTGCTGCTGAGGGTGGAGGCAGAGGGGCCAGCCTGGGCTGGGCTGTCGGGTCCTTCCCAGCAAGCTGGGGCTGGGACTGCATGGTTCCCCACGCCCAAGCCAGGCAGGGCTGTCATGGAGCCCTAGTTGGCTGGGTAGGGCCCCGTAGGGCAGCCTGTGGGGGCAGGGCCCTTTTCAATCCACAGCAACTGCATGAGAGCATGACCCAGCAACACGGGTGGGCCTACATTCATTTGGGTTCCGAAACAGAGCCAAATTTAGGTCACAGAATGAAATCCAGTCTAAAACATGACATTTCACCTGCTTCTGCATCAGTGATGTACAAAACCACAAACTCTGGTTTCCATGGAAAAGCAGGACTTGGCACATGGTTCATGTTTGCTTCAAATATGACTAGGTTTTATGGATATTCTGACAGACATCTAAGATTTACGTTTGTAACAAAATCAGGTTAATTATTTACGGTATTCTGTCTCGCTGATAACATTTTATGTTCTGTTAGTATGCACACTATGTTTTACTCCTCTGTAAGCATAAAAACAGACACATGGATGAATTTGTATACCAAAGAACAATTAGTTTAATAGCTGATCAGTACTTACTCTAATAATCTTGAGCCTACAAGATCCTGTCAGATGATACAAGCAGGTCTCGGATCCACTTTAATTAAAGCGCCTGCTCCTCCACTGTGGAGCACAAGTAGAGACATCCTGAGGCACTAGGAAAATGTGCATTAACCTGTGCTAATGTGAATTGACTAAAGAGCATTATTTTAAAGTAATGCTTAATGCTCATTAGTTTATTTTAAAGCACATTAACTAAGTAGCACTTCTTTGTGATGCTGTAATGTACATTAAAATAGGCTAATGTGCATTCAAGCGCATGTGTAGGCATACCTGCATAGTGCCAATTTGCTTCTAGGAATATTCTATCAAGCATGCTGTATTTTATCACATACAGCACGTCCCAGAATATGATACATACCTTTTTAGACTTATGGCTCCATGAAGGAGGAATAGAGCCTAATTGTCAGTTGACTTAGTCTCCCTTCCATGCTTAACTAAAGCTGAGATGCTAGCCGTTCCTGAAAAATGAAATAGGAAGAGAGAAACCAGAAGCAGAATTGCTCTAAGGAAGATTAGCTTGATTAGTGGAACATGAAGACCATTAAAAAGGAGAGATTATAAGTAACACTTCTGGAGTGAAGAACAATGAGCCATTATGTCAATTGACTCTCTCAGCTGCCTGAATAGTAATGTAACAGTTGCTGTAGTATGGAGTGGGAATCAAAGTAGAGTGCTTCTGTCCTGGTCAGAAAATCAGCTTACCTGCTTAATACATGCATGCCAATTTTTTTTTTTTTTTTTTTTTTTTGCTGGGGGGAGGGGCAGATTTTGGGAAAAAGATGTATATTGTATGCAATAAAATATAGTATTTACTATATTTGGGTATGTCTGAAAGATGCAAGGGTTACAATAAAAGTACTTTTTCTGTGTTTTCAAATTCATATTTTAAGTATTTGTTGGGACTTAGCTAATTCTATGCAATTCAGTATGTATTGGCTACTTTTCTTTTTTTTCTTTCCCAATTTCTAGTTAGAACTGTTATAGAAAAAGGGGAAATATGAAAACATAATGTATTTTTTTTCTTTTGATCTACAGTTTACTCAAGTTACTTCCTAATCTGTTGCCTGAAAATGTGTTATTTAGCCTGGTACTTTAATTATCTCTTACAAGACATTCCATATAATCTGATGTACCTAAAACGAAACATTCAGGGACATTACTTTTTTTACTCATGGTATCTAATTAACTAAATTAACATTTGTTTAAAGATGTTTAGACAGCACTGAAAGGAATCAGAAAGGAGGA